GGGGTCCTGGGTGCCCGGGCCAGGCTCCAGGCCAGCGTCCAGGTTCAGGGCCGGGTAGCCATCTTCCCCACAGGTACAGGGCCAGGAGCACGGCTCCTCTGCACCCACCACGGTCACCGTGTCGATGGACACCAGGCCATAGGGCCGGTCCCCCTCCTGGCTGTAAGCTGAGGTGCCCGCACTGCCAGTGCAGGGGGCAGGGCCCCAGTAGCCCGACTCGGGCTCAGGCTCGGGCTTAGGGGCGCTGTCAGTTTCCACCAGATCCGCAGGCGCGGGCAGCAGCGTGGTCTCCAACCCCTGGGCTGCACTCAGCGGGGGGCAGCAGTTGTACATCTCCAAGGGCGAGGGCACCCCTGGGCTCCAGGGGCCCAGGTCCAGGCTGGAGGCAGTGAAGGGCGTGCCTACCCATTTCTGTGAGAGAGAGAACGGGAGGGAGAGTCACGCATGGGATGGGGGCCAGGGAGGGTATAAACTCAGACCGTGGGCCGCTCGGTGGCCTGCGGGGGTCAAAATACAGGAGTCCCTGAGGTCTGAGTGACAGAGCCCCCACCTGCCCCTGTTTTATTTCTTAAAACCCAGTGTTCTCCTGTTTGTGTCCCCACTACAGCGGACACTCGGCCAGGGCACAATTCCTGGTTCTTCTGGTCACAGCTGCATCCCGAGGCTCACACAGTGCCTGGCACACAGTCAGTGGCCGAGAAATGTTTAACTGACTGAATGAGAGACCGCCAACTTGGAATGGCCTATGTGTGCACGGTAGCTAAGGGCTGTGGGGCCATGAGGGACTGGGGCAGCGGCCCCTAAGCACTGAGGATCCCCTTCTGGACACAGGGTCCCCATCCAATCAGCAGAGAGAATCCCCCAGAACTGAAATCTCCTCGATTTGAACCTCTTGCCCCTGGGAAGCTCATCTCAGGACCCTGATGTGGCTGCCACCACTGCTTTGAAGTCACTTCTCAGCTGTGTGGCCTTGAGCCAGTTACTTACTCTCTCTGGGCCTCAGTGTTCCCATCTGTGAAGTGGGCCTGCGCATAGGACCCACTCCTCAGGGTTGCTGTGAGCATTAAGTAAGTTAATATCTGCCCAGGACACAGCGAGTGCTATGAGTACTGGCAAATGGATACAAAATAGAGGTGATATCGGAGCAGAGGGAAGAGGAAGGGTCCACCCATGTGGGCTGGAGTCCACGCTCCTCCCCTCCCCACGAAAGCCACTTCTGCGATCTGAGCAGGGTCTCCTCACAGGCCCTGGGGGGTGGAGCGCCCGCCCTGCAGGGGCTGCGGGAAGGTGTGGGGTGGAGCCCAGAGCATTCATCGCAGCTCCAGGCAGCTGGCAGGAGCTCAGTCAATGGGCCAGCCCGCATTTCCTGACTTCCAGGCTCCTCCCGCCACCACATCCTCTCCGGGGGAGGCCCCTCCCGCCACCGAGGGTGGGTGTTGAGCGGTAAATGGGCCCAGAGAACCTTGGGCCCGTGGTGGCTGTGGTGGTTGAAGCTTGGCAGGGGGTGGTGCATTTTGCAGGCGGGTCCCTCCCTTTCCAGAACTGCTCCCTCTCCACCTCTCACCAGGCCATCTAAGACCCAGAAAGCCAATTCGTGGCCCCAGGGTGCACCTGGCCCAGCCCACCCCCAGCTGGCTCCTGGGGCTGGGAAAGGCTGCATGATCTTGACAAACTCTGCCCCGGAATTACTTCCTGCACTTGGCAGATGCCAAGACCGAGGTCTGGCTGCTGGCCTGGCTGGGGCTGGATGGGGCTGGGGCTGCAGCTGGGGCTGGAGAGGGTAAGAGGTGTCAAGGGCTGGTCGGGTGGGGCTCTCACCTTGAAGTTCCCGCTGTGGCTCACATACAGGTGCTGGAAGAATGGCTCTGGGCTGGGCACCTGCACCCACACCTTCCACAGCCTGGGAGGGCAGAGAGAAGGTAAGCCCCCCGATCTCACGGAGGGCAGCCCAGCCTCCCCCTCTTTGTCCTACAGGACACACCCAAATGCCTCCTTTCTACCACCACCACTACCACCACCCCGTCCCCACCCCACCCCCGCCACAATGTCCACATCTGTAAACTGAGGCAGCGAGTGGCCCACGGCTCCTGAAGGCACGAGGGCTCCGCCGCCCTTTGTGTGCCTGGTGAGCGCTGCCCCTCTGAGCCCCGACTCCTTCTCTAGGGCCAGGTGGGCAAAGGGCCAGCTCCTCGGGGCTGTGGGGGATTCGGGGCGCACCCGGCACCCGGCACCAGGAGCCCCCTGAGCCACGCCTCCAGCTCTGGCTCGGTCTCTAGACCGAGAGGACCAGGATGCGCTGCCACCGGGCGAGGCCCCACCATAGCCGGCCGCGCTCGGAGGCCGGGGAGCCCATGCTGGACTCGCTGTCAACAGCACCTTCCCTCAGGGACCACGCTCAGCAGAAATCGGGGGGGGGGGCACCCCACCTGGCAGTCCCTCGTGCCCCCCAGGTCAGAGCTTAGAATTCCCTGACACAATCACAGCTGAGGCCACTGTTCAGAGCACAGGGTTCAGCCGGCCGGTGGCTCAGTGGTTAGAGCGTCGGCCCACACATCAAAGGGGCAAGTCCCGGTCAAGGCCACACACCTGGGTTGCAGGTTCGATCCCCAGCCCCGGTTGGGGCATGTGTAGGAAGCAACCAATGGGTGTGCCTCTCTCCAAGGATGTTTCTCTCTCTCTCCCTCCCTCCCAGCCTCCCTCCCTTCCACTCTCTAAAAATTCAATGGAAAAGGATCCTCCGGCGAGGATTCACCAAAAAACAAAGAAAACGAGCACAGGCGCAAGGGCCGCCTTTGTTTACAGCCGTGTGAACCGGCGGCGTCCTTGCCAACTCCGGGCCTCAGGGCCCTGGTTTGTCCAATGGAGGTCACTGCCTGCATCCAGCTCACGGGGCGGCTGTGAGGGCTGAGTGAGCGCCCAGTACGGAGGAAACTGGGAGCTGGTCATTGTCACCACCCCTGTCATGACCACCGTCTCCGTGACGGGTGTGCCCCAGGCCGGGCGAGTCACAGAATGTGCATGAATCCATGCATTGGGCCACTAGTAGTAAAATAAAAATGATTATGCTGGTAAGTGTCCTCATTTAACATCACCTAAAGGTGGAGACTTCACGTGAAAAAATGCGTAACG